TGTGTGAGAGTGTGTGTGTATGTGTTTGTGTGTGTGTGTGTGTGAGAGTGTGTGTGTGTGTCTGTGAGAGTGTGTGTGTGTATGTGTGTGTGTGAGTGTGTGTGTATGTGTTAGTGTGTGTGTGTGTGTGAGAGTGTGTGTGTGTATGTGTGTGTTCTTGTTCAGCGTCGCGCTTCACGTCCCTGCAGAACACATTCAGATCACATCCTCATCTCACATCTGCCCTGCACCGTTCCCTTCAACTGCTCGCTTTTCTGCCTTTCACTTCTGTTCAGTCTGCGCTGTTCTGTGGTTCTGCTCGTGTCTCTTCAGGGAATCTGTCTGTCTATCACTCTACTCAGCTAACAAAAATATCTTCTAAGAATGTTTCGCTAACGTTTCCATTACGTTTTTCTTATGTTTTAATACCTTTTTTGTTTTGTTATGCAAATGTTAAAAGAACATTCCATTTTGCCCTGTTGCAAACATTATGTGAATGTTAACGTTTGAATGTTCTCTGAACGTTCCAAGAACTGCAACATTTAAAAAGCATTAGATGAACCTCCAGGAAATTTTTTTCCATGATGTATAAATAATATTTTTGCCTTAATTGCATGAGAACATTAGTCCAGACCAGCCCAGCTAACAAACATCCTTCCAGCAACATTAACAGAACATTGTTCAGAGTTTTCTGGTCTTTAATAATGTTCTTAAAATGTTATTTATTTATTTAAACATTGTTTATGGAATGTTTTGTTAAATTTTTTTTAAATGATAAAACAGAGAACATTCAAATGTAACATTCCCATAATGTTTGCAAAATTATAAAATGGAATTTTCCCTTATCCTTCATACAACCAAAAAAAGTTTTTAAAGCTGGACATTCAGAGATATGTTTTCATAACTTAATGAGAACGTTAACAAAATATTCCTAGAACATATTTTTGTTAGCTGGGAGATAACTAAGTTATATAAATGTTAGGGAAAAAACATTCTTAAAGTTTATATGCATTCTTATGATTTTATTCATATTTGATATACAGTCTCATCATGTTTAGAATTTTTTTTTCTGAGATCAACAATGTCTGAATGTCCTTACGATGTTATTTGTACTTGATGAACATTCCAGGAAACTTTTTTGTTACATTTAAATAACGTTCTAATCACGACAAGAAAACTAGACATTTGAACTTCTCAGAATATTACAAATAAATGTTCAAATAATGTGTTTTTTTTTAGTTAGAAAATGAAGTTAGTAGGATGTTGTTTATAAATGTTTTTTTGGTAATCACAACAAGATAACTGGACATTTCAACACATGTCTATCACTCTACTCAGCTAACAAAAATATCTTCTAAGAATGTTTTGCTAACGTTTCCATTAAGTTTTTCTTATGTTTTAATTCCTTTTTTGTTTTGTTATGCAAATGTTAAAAGAACATTCCATTTTGCCCTGTTGCAAACATTATGTGAGTGTTAACGTTTGAATGTTCTCTGAACGTTCCAAGAACTGCAACATTTAAAGTAAAGATCATGTTCCATGAAGATATTTTGTAAATCTCCTACTGTAAATATATCAAAACTTAATGTTTGATTAGTAATATGCATTGCTAAGAACTTAATTTGAACAACTTTAAAGATGATTTTCTCAATATTTAGATTTTTTTGCACCCTCAGATTCCAGATTTACAAATATTGTCCGATCCTAACAAACCATACATCAATGGAAAGCTTATTTATTGTATAAATCTCAATTTCAAAATTGACCCTTATGACTGGTTTTGTGCTGCAGGGTCACATGTGTGCTGCGTGAGCCGCAGCAGCGGTGTGAGAAACGCATGGATGTTTGGATGAAGCTGTTACAGAGAGAAATGCTAATGGCAGAGCTCTGCTGGGCTAAAGCTATTAGAGCGTATCCCACAATCCTTCACGCTCAGCTGCGGCTCTTAATTTCATTTCTTGTGTTACTCTGGGCAGTCGTCACATTATAAAAACAGATGCACACGCATGAGGACGTGTTGATTATCTCATCGCCGCAGATTTCAACCATAAACACTGTGTGCTCTCGTTTTATGACGCTCATAACGATTCCTGCAAGCACACACAGACATAAAGCAGTCAGCGTGACGCTCTATTTTACGACGCGTCGAGGGACTGCGCCGCAGTGAACTCTCTGAGAGCTGAAAGACTGGTTTTGTGCTGCAGGGTCACATGTGTGCTGCGTGAGCCGCAGCAGCGGTGTGAGAAACGCATGGATGTTTGGATGAAGCTGTTACAGAGAGAAATGCTAATGGCAGAGCTCTGCTGGGCTAAAGCTATTAGAGCGTATCCCACAATCCTTCACGCTCAGCTGCGGCTCTTAATTTCATTTCTTGTGTTACTCTGGGCAGTCGTCACATTATAAAAACAGATGCACACGCATGAGGACGTGTTGATTATCTCATCGCCGCAGATTTCAACCATAAACACTGTGTGCTCTCGTTTTATGACGCTCATAACGATTCCTGCAAGCACACACAGACATAAAGCAGTCAGCGTGACTAAGAACTTCATTTGAACAACTATAAAGATGATTTTCTCAATATTCAGATTTTTTTGCACCCTCAGATTTTCAAATAGTTGTATCTCGGCCAAATATCGTCCTATCCTAACAAACCATACATCAATGGAAAGCATATTTATTGTATAAATCTCAATTTCAAAATTGACCCTTATGACTGGTTTTGTGCTGCAGGGTCACATGTGTGCTGCGTGAGCCGCAGCAGCGGTGTGAGAAACGCATGGATGTTTGGATGAAGCTGTTACAGAGAGAAATGCTAATGGCAGAGCTCTGCTGGGCTAAAGCTATTAGAGCGTATCCCACAATCCTTCACGCTCAGCTGCGGCTCTTAATTTCATTTCTTGTGTTACTCTGGGCAGTCGTCACATTATAAAAACAGATGCACACGCATGAGGACGTGTTGATTATCTCATCGTCGCAGATTTCAACCATAAACACTGTGTGCTCTCGTTTTATGACGCTCATAACGATTCCTGCAAGCACACACAGACATAAAGCAGTCAGCGTGATGCTCTATTTTACGACGCGTCGAGGGACTGCGCCGCAGTGAACTCTCTGAGAGCTGAAAGCAAATCACAAACACTGACTGCATATAATGTGTGTGTGTGTGTGTGTCTGCTCTGGAGACCTTGATGCTCTTCTGAGGATCAATTCAAGCAGAGAGGGACTAATCACTGACTGAAGAGCTTAATGTTTTTCACCTCTAATTGCTTTCATGTTAAATTATAACAGGCAGTTCTTCTGTATGTTGCATATTATTTCATGGGAAGTGTGTGTTGTATATTTAAACTGCAGTGATTGTTTTCAAACTGATAGCCCCGCCCCCAAACTGGTTGAGTGGAATCTCTCAGCCAATGATGTGAGTCGGGGGTGGGGCCACCTGTACCAATGAATATTTATAGTGGCTCTAAAGGTTAAACTGGCAAATCTGAACATATAATGGTCTGTATATAACTGTATGTGTTTGTGTCTTACAGGGGAAGCCGTATGTTTTTGACAAAGTCTTTCCCACGAATTGCACACAGGAGCAGGTGTACAACACCTGTGCCAAACAGATTGTCAAAGGTGAGTGTGTAGACAGGTATTAATTCTATAAAACTATATATACAAAATGTCAAAATAATGTATAGGACACATTATTTCTTATAAATAAAGATCACTGCATTTTATCTGAATATCAACATTTGTCAGATTTAGGCAGTCGAAAGAGGTTAACTGATTTCATTTCATTTCATATCTGTTTGTTAATGAGGGATTTGTGCGGTATATTTGCGCAGTAAGCGTTTTTAAAAGTTATAAAAGTTTCTATTTAGACGTGAAATGATCAAATTAGACTGCTGGAGTTTACTTTAATACTTTTTGATTTTTAATACTAAATTTTATACAAATTAATGGGATTGTTATTTAATATTTCCAAGATTTATATGTACGTTTCAGACATTAAAACTGAGTAAAATCATGAAATTTGCATTCAAAGTGCTGCTATTATGGCATGTCTTCAATTAAAATATGCGCAATTAAACAATTTTGGAATAATTTTACCTTTCAGATGAATCTCATTAACTTTAGTCTTCAATTATTCAACTAAATTATAAATACAAAATATGAAATATTTAAAAACAATTTGAAATAGAATCGTTGTTTTAGAATTTTTATTTAATGACACTTTTTAAAAATATATAAATAATAATAATTATATCAGAAGTCATTGATACATTCTGCAAAAGTTTATTCATGAAGGCTTCTTTTAATATTTAACTTTTTGTGCTCTAACAACTAAATCAGCAAGTGTATCTATTTATTTCCTAGAACACATTGATGATACTTTGTATCATCGTCCTGCGCAGGCTACACTTATATGAGCAGCACATGTTACAATTTAAAAGTAAATCCACATTGTTTCTAAGCACTGATGCAATGAATCTTCTAGCACTTTTCCATGTTGATTGAGTGTTTCTCTCTCTACAGATGTTCTGGACGGTTATAACGGCACCATCTTTGCGTACGGACAGACGTCATCTGGTAAAACCTACACTATGGAGGTAAAACAGCTCTCTGCACGGCTCTGTGCTTATTATTAAAGAACAATTCGCTCAGAAATTAAGATTTAGTCATCAAACTGTAAAACTCGCTTTACTCCCTGGAACACAAAAGAAGACGTTTAGCAGAATGTTCACATTCAATCAAACGTGTACCGACTGCTTTCTGTCTCTCAGGGAAAACTGCACGATCCTGACGGAAGGGGAATCATCCCGAGGATCGCTGAAGACATTTTTAACCACATTTACACCATGGACGAAAACCTCGAGTTCCACATTAAGGTGAAAATAACAGCACGTTATAGACGTTCATACTTACAGATCATTCTGTTTTTGTGTGAAGAAATGAAATGCTTTCAGATAATTCCTCCTCATGAGCTGTTCTTGCTTCTCTCTCAAGGTTTCCTATTTTGAAATCTACATGGATAAAATCCGTGACCTACTTGACGGTGAGTTTGCGGTGTTTTTTCTCGGGTCGACCTAAATACAGGCCTGTGTGTAATTCACAGACTCCTCCAGAGAATCTTTTTAAAGCATTTCCCGCTCAGTATAATGTAACCTGGCTTTGCTGTATTTAAAATGCATTGATATCATTTATTTTTGTGGGTATTATTTCAACTGGATATAAAAAGAGCATTTAATTGACTTATAAACAACTGCTATTTTACAATTTAATTGCATTTTTATTTACACTATCATTGAAAAATGTGTAGCCGGTAAGACTTTTTTTTTTTTTTAAAGAAATGAATACTTTTATTCATCAAGGATGCATTAAATTGATCAAAAGTGACAGTAAAGACATTGATAATGTTACAAATGTTTTCTATTTCAAATAAATGCTGTTCTTTTGAACTTTCTATTCATCTGTGAATCCTGAAAAATAAAATGCATCACTGTTTTCAACATTGATGATAATCAGAAATGTTTCTTGAGCAGCAGATCAGCATATTATACTGATTTCTGAAGATCATGTGACACTGAAGACTGGAGGAATGATGCTGAAAATACAGCTGCGCATCACAGGAATACATTACAGTTTAACAGAGATTCACATAGAAAACAGCTATTTTAAATTTTAATAATATTAATTTTTTTTTACAGCATTTTCGATCAAATAAATGCACCAGCTAAGACCTGCAACCACATCAGGCTGGTTTATTTTCAGCATATGAGCATTAGATGAGTGTTTGTGTTCACATCTACATACACATGTGTCCAGCTGTCTCATTTTGCTGCGTTCTGATTGGACGGACGACTGTGCTGCTCATCTGTATTCAGCTGCGATCGCTTATTTCAAATAAATGCTGTTCTTTTGAACTTTCTATTCATCTGTGAATCCTGAAAAATAAAATGCATCACTGTTTTCAACATTGATGATAATCAGAAATGTTTCTTGAGCAGCAGATCAGCATATTATACTGATTTCTGAAGATCATGTGACACTGAAGACTGGAGGAATGATGCTGAAAATACAGCTGCGCATCACAGGAATACATTACAGTTTAACAGAGATTCACATAGAAAACAGCTATTTTAAATTTTAATAATATTAATTTTTTTTTACAGCATTTTCGATCAAATAAATGCACCAGCTAAGACCTGCAACCACATCAGGCTGGTTTATTTTCAGCATATGAGCATTAGATGAGTGTTTGTGTTCACATCTACATACACATGTGTCCAGCTGTCTCATTTTGCTGCGTTCTGATTGGACGGACGACTGTGCTGCTCATCTGTATTCAGCTGCGATCGCTGAGTCACTGAACAATCTGAGAGAGAGAGAGAGAGAGAGAGAGAGAGAGAGAGAGAGAGGGCGGCGGAG